TAGCACAGGGCTTAGCACATTGTAGGTGCTCAAAAAATACCTGCTGATTGGATGTACAACTGAATGAATGAACGTTGAACATTGACATGTCTGTCTCCTAGTTCATGTGTGAATTCCTTAAGCCCAAGAGTGGCAACTGATTTCCTCGATATCACCTAATTATCTGACTTCCCACATGGGGTTCTTGGTAGATATTCAATAAGTATTTGTTGAAATTAAATAAATTGAGTTGTGTGGGCTGACTTGGGAATCAGCCCTTGACTGATGACATTGTTTCTATGGGAAAATGCATTCTGAGTGCCAAACATACAAGTGAACTTTTGGAACCTCATCCGTTCATTGGTTCAGGATTGCCAGTTTTGTGGAAATCCGTAACTGAACACATGGGCTTTGCTTTGCAATATGGGAGAAACTGAGAAACTGCTTCCCAACCCAAGATATTCAGCCTGCAAAAATTCACTTCCCACCCACACAGGCAAATTCATCACAGGTTGGATGTGAAGTTCCAACAATAAAATACTAAACTTTTTAGAGCTCATTGTTTATCTAGTTGCTTTTTATCTGCTTATATTGGATGCCTATTATTAACATCCCAACCAAAGGAAGTTAAGATCATTTTCTTGCCCCACCCCCAAAGAAATCCACTTTCTAGACACATGTGCAAGAAAGCTCAGCCTTCTCAACAGAGAAAATAAGTTATTTTTCTAAATAAATCTGCAGCATTTAAAATAAACACAGTGGGATGCTCTACAGTTATAAGAAACATCCCCCTTTAGAATTCCTAATTTTGAATGGTACTGGAGCTTCATGTGAGTCACAGATCTGAAGCTTAGTTTATTAAATCTCAGGCCAGAACCAAGCCAGTGTGAAACCAAGTAATCTGACATGGGTGGGAAGGTCCGTCAGCCCACAAATCCAGAGTGCTTTATAATACTTAATGCACAAGTCTTCTGCCATTGGTAGAGTTTCCCAATCATTCTACTCCATTCATTTAATATATACCTACTATGTGCCAGGCACTGTTCTAGATTCTGGGGAATACGATAATGAACAAGACTAGGTCCCTATACAACTTACATTTTAGTAAAGGAAGAGGCAGAGAAATAAGATCATTTCCGATAGTGGTGGGCCATGAAGGAAATAAAGCAGTGATGTCACTGGGTGAGGTGAGGCTACTTCAGGCTGGATGATCTCGTGGAGACGTGTGAGCTGGGATATGATAATCAAGAAAGAGCCAACTGCGCAGAGAGCTGGGGAAGAGTCTTCTAGTCTGAGGAAATAGCCAGTGCAAAGTCCCTGAGGCAGGGACAAGCTTGGCATGTTCTTGAGTCAGAAAGGAAGCGGTGTGGCCAGGGGAGGTGGAGGAGAGGGTGGCATTAGAGGCTGAGAAGTAGCGCGGGGCCAGACTATGGAAAGCCTCGTACGCAGGCCCTGGGGGCAAGGGAGTCAGGCTGAACTCTAAGACGGAAGCCAGTGGAGGTTGTTAAGCTGGGAAATGGCATGGTCTGGTTTAGAGTTTAAAAGGCAGAGGTGAGGGAGTAAGAGCAGAAGCAGGGGCAGCAGTGAGCAGGCTTTTATAGAAGCCCTGTGTCCTCAACCTCTTCCCTGGTTCTTCCTTTCACCTGCTCTCACGGAAACCTGGCTCTGCCTGAGGACACGGCTTCCGTGTGGCCCGCTCAGGGCTGGCGGCTTCCTCTCCCCTATGGTAGGTGTCCTGCTTGCATCTTACCTTCCCTTTTGGACACTTCTTCTTCCCTTCTTTCTAAGCCTGCCACAGCCCCCACCCCCATCTCTGAAGCTCATGCCATCAGTCCACATCACCCCAAATTCCTTCCTGTGGTAACCATCTGCAAACCACCCCTACCGACAGGCCTGCGCCTTCCTTTTCTCGAATATCTGGCTCCTCACTCTCCAACACTGTTCCCTCAGTCGTTCTTGGTGACTGCAATGTTCACACAGATAATCAATCCACCTACCACGCTGACACCTCAGTTCCTTGACCGCTCTGCCAATACTCTTGTCCTCCATCCTTCTTTAGCTACATAATCATACCTAGATCTTGCCATTGCCAGTAACTCCACCCCCTCCATGACCTTAATTTCAAGTTCCCACAGTCCAACCACTACCCTTTTCCTAGTTTCCAGCTTCAATAAATCTTCCCCCAACTGCAACCCCCAGGGCACAGATCCCCGTTCTCACATCCCTCACCCCCCTCCTTAGAGTTCACTTATAAGTAAGGCCCCGAGTCCACTATTACAAGTATCAATATCCATATCACTATCATGGTCCCTCCCTTGCATGCACCCTCAGCGTCCAGGCCCCTCTGCCCACTCTTTAAGTACTTTCTGGCGAAGCCCCAACTCTGGCCCGGTCTAACTCTCGCCTGCTCTGTGACCATGCCAACAGACCCAGATGTGGCTTACGAAAGCAAAACCATGTGTACTGCTCTCACTTCAAAAGCAATATGACCCACCTCAAGTGGGCCCCAAAGCTTCCGGGTAGTGATTCTCTATTTCCCATTCCCTTCCCTCTCCCACTCTAATTCACACCTTCTCTCTCTTCTCCCTTCAAACCCTAGGGCTTCCTCCCCCACCTCTCCTCACTCTCACTTGTCTTAAGTCACTGAAAATGATGTAAGCAATAGGAAAAGTCATGTGCATTCTTACATCACCCACCTGTTCCGGGCCCATAGCCTCACCTTCCCTCCCATGACCAAGAAGGACTGTCCCACGCTCCTGTGTGAGGCTGGCCTCCCCGCTGGTGTACTAGACAGATCCTGTTTTCCCTCATCTGCTGAAAGACACACTCCACAGCTCTCTTCTCTCTCCTGCATAGTCAGTTTCTCCCTCGCTACTGGACCTTTCCCAACAGCCCCAAAATGCACTGTGGTTTCATGCCTCTTGTAAACAACAAAACTGTCCGGACTCCACTTTTTCCTTTAGCGTCGGTTCCCTTTTCTGCTACCTTTCTCAGCAAAGCTCCTCCAAAGAGTTGTCTCTGCTCTGCCTCCTGTTATCTTTTCTGGCAGCTTTAGCACCACCTCCCCAACTGTCCTGGTCACAATCACTAGTCAGCACAGCGGTTCTCAACCTGTGGGTCGCGACCCCTTTGGCGGTCGAACGACCCTTTCACAGGGGTCGCCTAAGACCATCCTGCATATCAGATATTTACATTACGATTCATAACAGTAGCAACATTACAGTTATGAAGTAGCAACGAAAATAATTTTATGGTTGGGTCACAACATGAGGAACTGTATTTAAAGGGCCAGAAGGTTGAGAACCACTGAGTCAGCACCTGCTAAGTCCAGTGGAACAACTCCCTTCTCTTGCCTGACCTCGCAGCACGATCTGGCACAGCGGATGCTCCCTCTTCCCTCTGGCTTCCCAGACCACCTTCTTCAGTTTTTCCTCTTCCCTTTCTGGCTGTTCCTTCCCCTGTCTTGTTTCCTCTTCAGCTCCCTGACCTCAAAGAACTGCCCCACCTCTATGCTCAGTTCTCCAACTACTTCTCCCCTCAATCTACACTCTCTCCCCAATGTGGTCTGAAGGCTTCCTTATGTCCATCTAAACACTACTAACTCCCAAATTCATATCACCAGCCTGGACATCTCCCATGGCCTGTGTTTGCAATACAATAGCCGCTAGCTATGTGTGGCTATTTAATCACCCTCACCACCACCACCACCACCACCACCGTCACGATTACAGGCACTGAATTAACTCCTGCATGTAGCTCTACAGATACAGACAGGGAACCTACATAAGTGGAACGGATCAGAAAGATTACAGCAAGACTGCTTAGTGGGTGTGCGATGATGAAATGCTGTTCATGATCAGCTAATTCCTTAAACACTACTCTTGGGCAGGCGACAAGAAGAAAACGTTCCTACCCAGTTACAATTATTCATGAGAATTCTCCTGGCCCTGCTTCTTTTGTCTGCCAGCCATTCTACGGAAACAGCCCAGTAAGGAGGCGCAGTGGAAGGCACAGGCAATTATGCGTCTTGCTGCATCTCAGCTTTGGACGTCCTCCGTGAACTCTTAATTAATTCCTCCCCTATATTTTCGGTTTGTTTCCTGGACCTCTTGTTTACATTGTATTCCCTCTCCCTCCCTTCACTGCTCTTGGCTTCATCCCCTAGAGGCTCCCAAATTCTCTTCCTAGTCCTCTTTTCTTTCCTCAAGCCTCCCCGTGTTCAGCCTTCAGCTTCGTGCACCTGTTCTACTCTTTCTTATCCTTTTTTACCTTTGAAAACGGAAAGCGCCAAACTGACAGACACTGTTATGGTTTGTTTTTTTCTTCTCCTGCCTGAGCTGCAGTTCAGGCTCTCTCCTCCTTGCTTCTATAGCGAGAGCCCGAGTACTGGGTTGCCATGGCAACAGCGAATCCAACCAGGCGGGTCCCAGTGATGCTACGAGCTGCCATGGTGAGGAAGCGGCTCCAAGTCGCCCCTGAGCCTAGATGGGTCGTGAGCATCGTAATTCAAGAGCAGGCTGGGCAGATTCTGCCCGGAGCCCGAGGTTGTACATCAGGCCCACAGCTGTATGGCGCATTCAGAGACAACAGCATCAATAATAAGGCTTCTGCTGCACCAACCGAATACGTGACATTATGAGGATTCATTTGAAAAATTTCAAAAGCTCTATTCTTCTACCTTCCCTGAGGGAGAACCTTCCGCCTGTCTCTGGAGTCTTGGAGAACTCTGCAGAAAGTAAAAGCAGACTGACAGCTCGAGCCCATCCTCCTTTATGCCACGTGCCTGCCCCTCCCACCCCCAGAGCGGGCGACCCTGAGTGGTCCGGGTCAAATGACTGAGAAGCACTGACTGGGCTGGGAACATCTCCGGGAATTAATTCGGTTCACACAATGATATTTCAGTCGCACAGAGGTCAGTGCCCCCAGGTCGTTGGAACGAATTGTTAAAGTGGGGCAACAAGTGTTCTGCACGTGACACTTTTCTGAAGATGTGAGCTGGGGAGAAAGCATTCAGGAGGTACCTCTGTAGCGAATGGCACCAGCCGCAGTGAGGGTCCGCCGCTGTTAGGCACTCCGAACAGGACTTGTGCTTATTGCAGTTTGCAACTCGAACTCTCCTCACCTATAAAGAGCAATGACAGCGGTTCAGACAGAATGATAAACACCACCAGGAAAACCGCCACACCTTATCTGATGAAGGGCCATCTGTACATTTATGGGCTCACTCTGAATATCTCCACCGTAACAGTGGGCAGGGGGTCTCAAGTCCCAAGGTGGGGAACAGGTTATCAGAATCACCTTGAGAGCTTATGAAAGTGCAGATTCCCAGCCGCCCCCTGCGGGGACTCCAGCTGAGGAGGTCTAGGGCCAGCTGAGGAGTCTGCACCTTTAAGCCCCTCAGGTGAGTCTGATACGCAGTCAAGTTTCTGGTCTGCTAGGAATGATGTCGAAAGGGATCACGGAATCAGGTCAGCTGGCTTCATACAGAGTCAACGGTACTTGGAAATGAGCATCTGGAAATAGCAAAGGCTCTGACCCAGAGTAGCACCAGGTTGTCCCTGGAGAAGGAAGTGAGGAGAAGCCTCCATCCCTGGGGGCGGGGGTGGGGGGGTGTTGGGCTCCATCATCTCACATTCCCTCCCCTGGAGTTGAAAGTAAAAAAACAACAACAGGGGAGTTTTCAATCATTCCCTGCCCCTGGGGTTGCTTCTTCCAGTTGTCAGACAAAGCCACAGACAGGGCGCAGTGCTGGGCAGACCAGGCTGCAGAGGCAGGCAGAGCCTTGAAGCAGACGGTGGGAGGCAGGGACCTGAGGGTTGCACGGCACCCACTGAAGGTAGTGAAGGAACCTGGGGGACTCGTGAGGCCAGGAAGCTATATTTGTTAGAAAGTATAAGTAACTTCTTTAAAAGATTAGAGAAACAGAGAGTTCTAGGAGGGGTCTGTGAGGAAAACGAGTGATCCTGAGGAATATCTTTCGAGTCTAAGTTGACTTCATGGAGGATAACCACACCCGTCCACTTCACAGTTCTCGGTGCTGCTGACAGACATACTGACAGACCACCAGCCCGAGCCAGCGGTAACCAGCATGTGGGTATTTCCTTGTAGCTCACAAACATCTTTGTAATTCTGGGGGAGGGGGTGGTTCATAAATGTCACATAAGCTCTCTAACCTTGTTTTCTCATCCGTGAAATGGTGATGGTGCTGCAGACTTCCTGGGGCTATTACAAACATTGCCTGGCACATACTAAGTGCTCAATAAATGTTGGCTATTGCTATTATGTGAGAAAAGTTTCCACGGTCCAACAAACATGTGAAATCTTACACTGAAAAAGCAAAATAGGTTTCCTTAGCACAAGGCTCAGAGCCTTCGAATATGCCGAGATCATGACACTCCAGCAGGGGGACGGTCAGTAGCAGCTGCTCCTAGGACAATTTTTACTCAGAGCATTTAGTGGAATATGAATCTCTAGAATATTCTGTAAGAATTACCATACACTATACTTAAGCAAACATATAACTCCATATAAAAGAGAGGACACTATAAATACTACATTAGACCTGCTTCTTCAACTGAACACACGATAGTGACTATTCCACAGCAATGCATGGATCTCCATGTGGTTATTTTTAATGGCTACATATAATACCATTCTATGGATGTATGAGGGCGTGTTCGTTTGGCTATTACTATTTGCCCAAGAATCTAAGAAAGGGCTTTCCTTCGGTCTGCCTCCCTTGGGGTTGTATTGGCCCAACCAGAGTCTCTCTGGTAAGATCTCTAGCAGGAAACCTATGTGAAGAGTGTAAGAATAACCAGCTTCGATGCCCAGTGGAAAAGTCTCCTCAGGACGTCAGCTGGATGACCAGAGACCAGAGCAGTTCACCTTCAGAAAGTGAACATCTGTCAGCAATTGGAGGCTCTCACAGTGTTCCCATCCTATGGTCTTGAGTTCCAGGGAAGGTGGTAATGAGGACTTCTGAGTGATTTGCAATGTTTTAAAAAGCTGAATGGAAAAACACACACAGACTAAGCCAGACTTCAAGTGTCAGTGCTTTGGGCTGGAATTTTATCAGCTTTGTGGCAGCATAGTTGGGCCCCTGACTGTTAGCTTTAGATGCCCTTGATAAATACAGCCTGAGAATGGGAGTTGTTACTTAATATATGCACTTCTTTGAGTAGACAAAAATCTCTCAAATATGGGAATGCTGCGGAAGAGATATAATAAAAAGTTTTGGAATGGGGGAGCAAGCTGGTCAAGGAGATTCCATATGGTGAAGAACTGGTTTACAAAGGTATATGAGGTCCAGTGGCTATCGAGATGTGGTCAGTTAGACATAACTGACTTTTCAACATGCAAAGAGCAATAGGCCTTTTTAGGAATTCCAGGAACTATAAGTGCTTGCAAAGCTACTCTGTGGCTCTAACAACACATAGAGATTAATGCCATTGCTATAGTCCTTAGAGTGCTTGAGAAGAAAAGAATGAAAAATTGGGGTATGCCACAAGCATCTTAATTATATCCCTGATATAATTATGTAAGCCTCAATTATATTCTTTGCATTTTGTATGTTCAAAATAATAATGGGTCAAAAACACTGTGCCAAAATGGCCTGTTCAGTTTTCAAAAATTTGTGACTGATCTCATTTATCATGGGCTTTAAAAGATCAGAGCATAATTTAAATCCTAGTTCTGACAGGCCTAACCTATATATATATATATCCTTGAGCAAGTTATTTAACCTTTTCAAGTCTTAGATTCTTCATATATAAAACAAAGGTAATTTTATACCATTAAATTATTAATACTTTTCATTAACATTATTTATTATAAGTGTGTGTACACAACTCTATGTGTCTCATCTAGAGACCGTATGTAGAATAATAATTAGCACATAGTCAGGAGGGACTCAGTAAAAATTAGTTTATCTCCCCCTTCCCTTGGTGAAGCACTTTGTAAAAATGAAGAAAATGTAGAAAGGTATCCTTTGTAATTCAGTAAGCAGAAGCAAGAAGAAAAACTAAAGCAGCCAGCTAAATTAAGAGAGGGAGGGCAAGTGCCATATATTTCCTGGTTAATGAATGTGTATGAGACTGTGAACTGATATTAACCCCAAATTCCAAAGCTAATCCTATTGGGTATATTCATAAATGCATCTAACCGTTCAGTGCCCACATAATAAATGTGTAAATTCAGTCATCTTGCTGATGGTGCGCCATTTGCGAGCACACCCTCCTCTACAAAACCTGGCATTGGAAATATAGCCAATAATAACATTGTCTAAACAGGTGATATTTCTTGCTTAGTTACTGACAGTAATGTTTTTAATTCTGTGCTTGTGAACCATTGCCCGCAGCGATGGTTAAACTCGGTAGTTCAAAGTAAAAGCTTCACTACTAGATAATGACATCAATTAAACACTCTGTATTCATAAGTCAGAAGCAGTAACTAGTATTTTAACCTACCTCTTTTCCAGCTGTTAGATAGATGTAGCTATTCTTCTCAGGATGCGGAACGAGTTTGTAAAAAACAGGTGTTTCTTCTTTAATTTCATAGATAACCTCTGGACAATTTGAGGTCAAATTCTCACCAAGAATAACCTGTGGGTTTTTATTTTTCAAAAAGAGAAATATAATTTCTATTAAATATTTTGAATAGCAGAGTGTCAAAACTTGTATCTTAACTCTAAAACCACATCCTTTCTTACTCACTACATATACTGGCTAAGGTACCATGTTCCTTCATCACCTTCTCATGTCTGCCTTCAACAGGGCTGGTAATAATAAGCACAGTATTTCTGCTTTTGTATGGGACAAAGTCACACATGTACATGCAAGTGTGGGTGTGTGCGTGCACACACACACACACACACACACACACACACAGCTCTTCTTCAATGTTGGGCAATATACTCACATGTGAAAGCTTGTTCATAATTCCTGACCATGGCTGATTGGCCTTTTGTGAAGCTACAAGTAACAGCTTCTTTAGTATTAGCCCAAGACTTATCTTAAAACTAAAGAAAGTCAGCTCAACATATATTTTATGTGGGTTATTCTGGTTCTCCCATGTAATTCTACACAGTCATGCATTTTAAAGCAATCAGGACAAGTTACCAGACCTAAACAAGGAGTATGTATTTACAGTATACTAGTATATAAAATATAAGCGAGTCTGGCTTTGAAATTGGACAAACATGAGCTTCACTCATCTTTAGTCAATAAACATCTACTGAACATCCACTATGTAGTAGGCATCTTCTAGGTGTTTGGACCATGCAGTGAACACAGTGGGGATGGGAGGGCGGGAATCCTGCCCTCAAATAACTTACATGTATGCAGGGAAATGGCAACAGTTAACAAAAAGTATATAAAGAGTGTCCCAAAATTCACGCAAGAAGTAATTTTGATAGAAAACACAGGTTTATAATTAAGAATTGTAAATTTTTTATTGATTCATAAATTATACAGCAGGGGTCCTCAAACTTTTTAAACAGGGGGCCAGTTCACTGTCCCTCAGACCGATGGAGAGCCGGACTATAGTTTAAAAAAAAAACTATGAACAAATTCCTATGCACACTGCACATATCTTATTTTGAAGTAAAAAAACAAAACGGGAACAAATACAATATTTGTATTTGCATGTGGCCCGCGGGCCGTAGTTTGAGGACCCCTGCTCAAAGAGATGTGAAAACGAGGGGAAGCCACAAGGTGAAAGCAGAAATCCCGTGGAGGAGGAAGCCCAGCCAGGGTAGGAGCGAGGCTGCTCCCTGCAGGCACCCCTTTTGGGAAGACAGGCTCCCCGGGCCCTCCGCCGGGCCCCTGCAGTCCTCCTACAGAGTCTTAATACGATAAATGAAATGTGGCATATCCATATCGTGGGCCATTCTCCAGCCAATGTGAGTGAACCTTACAGTAAACTATGGACTGTGGCTGATGTGTCAGTGTTGGGCTGTAACAGTCTGGTATCACACTGTACCTACCTTCCTGGCATGGGGTGTCGGGGACAGGGGGGGACTCCGGCTGTGGTTGGGGGGAAGGAGTGTGGAGGAACTCTGTACTTTCCATTCACTTCTGCTGTGAATTTACAATTGCTCTTTTTGAAAAGTTTTCTTAAAAAAGAAGTGTTGATACATCAACAGGGATGAGCCTTGAAAATGTTATGTTAAGTGAAAGGAGCCAGTTACAAAAGCCTATATTATGATTCCACTTCTATGAAATATCCAGAACAAGGAAATCTATAGACAAAAAAACAGATTGCTGGTTCCCTAGGGCTGGGGTGGGAAGTAAGTGGGCGATAGCCAACGTGTACACAGGGTTTCTTTTTCGGGAGATGAAAATGTTCTAAAATCGACAGTGGTGACAGTTACACATCGGTGACGATACTAAACACCATGGAGTTGCACACTCTAAATGGATGGCTTGTATAGTATATGAACTATATCTCAAAGCTGTTTTTTTTTTTTAAAAAAAAACCAAAACATTATTAAGACCATGGAAACTAAATATAGATTGCGGATTAGAAAATTGTGTCAATATTAAAACTTTCTAATTTTGATCATTGGAAAAATTTAATGGGCAACTCTGTAAAGTAGGCAGTATCTTCATTCCCATCTTACAAAGGCAGAAACAGAGGCGTGGAGATGTCAGATGACTTGCCCAGGACCAGCAGTCTAAAAGCCCACACTTTTCACCGCCCCCCCCACCCCCGCCCCTCCTCTTGGCACTCTGGTGTTTTCCTTTATAGCACTTGTCACAATTTGTAATTTTATATTTTTTGTTCCACAAGAAGATAAGCTCCTTGAGGGCAAGAATATGTCTCTTGTGGTTGCCATTTCTGTATTTAAACAAATATTACGATGCAGTGTATGGCTAATTTGCCTACAAACGTCAGGTGGTCATAATAATCTGGCCACTCAGTGTATATATATCGAGTCATAAAAGTCAAAATGAAGAGGGGTAAGGAGCTGGAGAGTGCATGCTCACAGTAGGACTCACTGAGAAGGTGACACTTATTTAGAGACTTGCATGGATGATGGCATCACTTAGACATCTGGACAAAGTGTGATGATGTCTAAGAGGGACCCACTGGTACAAAGGCCCCACACTGAGAGGAGGCCAGTATGATGTGAGCAGAGCAAACGATGTAGAGGAGAGTGGGAAGTGAGGCAACAGAGTGAATAATACAGGTTCTTGCAGGCCTGTGTAAAGATGTTGCCTCTTACTCTGGGTGAGAAAGAGGGAGCCATTGCAGGGCTTGGAGTAGAGGAATGGTGTGGTGAGAGGGCAGGGTTTGAAGCATGAGTAGAAGACTCATCAGGAGACTCTTCTACCCTTTAAGTGGCTAAGATATTTTGAAGTAGTAACTTAACCTCCTTGAGTCTCAATCTCCTCATGTCTAAAATGAGGCTAATAACTCCTTCCTTAAACATAGCTACTGTAAGGATCAAATTAAACTTAAGGAAGATGCTTAGCACATGATAAACACTCAATAGATAATAATCTTTTACTAGATTGCAAGCTCCTTTTGGGTAGGGATCATGTCTTAATCATCTTTGTACCTATTTCTTGCCCAATACAATACCTTCAAAAGTGAAGGTGTTCGGCATTTTGTCAGTGTGAACATATCCAGATAGAATACCTACATTCGTATCTCTAGCACTGTGGATAGCAGTTACACTGGGCACATGATTTGAAAGAAAAAATTGGCACCCACGTTCTTTTGAGACAAAAATTAACATCTGTGCATCTACTGATCAATAATATGCCTGAACCCACTTATTCTGATGGCAATCACATACTGCTATTCCATCAAAAGCTCCATATCAATTTGGCACATGGAGCATCTTCCTACACACATTCCCGCTCCCAGAACCTGGGCCTGAGTCTGGTTTTGTCCTGCGATGGTGACCTCCTTCCATCATCTGCTCTGGGTCAAGCCCAGTGCAAGTGGCTCACTAAGAGCCTGTGAACTACTCACTAAATTCAGTAGCAGCTCTGGGAAAAAGGAACAGAAGCAGTTAGGTCCCAAGGGAGGTGGGACAGATTTGTGCCTCGGTTCATTTTAAAATGACGAGAGAGCTGCACTATTCAATACAGTAGCCACATCTGGCTATTTAAGTTTTAATTAAATTAAAGATTCAGTCCTCAGTCTCACTGGCCACATGTCAAGCACTCCCTGGCCACAGGGGGCTGGTGGCTACTACACTGAGAGTGCAGATAGAGAACATTTCCGTCATCATGGAAAGTTCTACAGGATAGTGCTGGCCTGCAGAAAACTGAGTGAAGGGAGACATCCGCCAAGCACTGACCAAGCGTGGACTTGCCAGGTTCTTGTCTTCCCATCTCTAATTTGTAGATGAAAAAGGGACCACATACTGAACCTGCCAAGCTCAGGAGAGGCCTGCATGGTGGGCCCTGCAAACTCAGAGACTGAATGTAACCACACAGGAGGGTCAAACAGAAACATTTCTAAGTGAGCCATGGCGGACAGTCACCTTCTAGGCCTGTAGCTCCATTGGCAAAGGTTAATCTTTACCGCAACTGAGCCTTTCCATTGTCTTCTTACATGTAAAGTAACATACTTGAAATGTTAATGAGTAATCTTCTTCCCCAGACCCCTCAGGGCACAACTGCCGGCACCAGAACAGACCACAGAACTCCCCATTGTTATCTTGTTCCCCAAATACCATCTCTATGTGCTGTACCCACCAATGTAAAAGAAGTCTGTGTTACTCTATTTTGCCTTTTATCCAATCCGGAAGGTCTCCTCCCCCTGCTTTGCTTTCTCTTACACCCTTAATCCACCATGTGTAGATTTCATGTAACCTTCCTTACATCTCCTTGCATTGTAATGTATAAAATAAACTGCAAAACTGCCATTCTCTGGAGCATTTTCTCAATTCCTTCCTTGAGATTTTACCTCCTGGCAATTGTCATCATTTTGACTCAAATAAACACATAAAAATTCTCTACAGGCTTGGACATTTCTTATCCAAAGAAGCCCACCCGGGACCACCTGGCAGACATGGGCCTGGTGCTAGGTACCAGCAGGGGCTCATTACTCTGCATCAGGTGAATTTGCGTGAGTTTTCTTGAAAATCCAGACCTCCCTGTTTTAAGGTAGGAGACCCTTAACTTTATTTGAGCTGTTCTTTAAAATATAAAAATCCTTGAGGTGGCACTGAAGGTTAAGGGTTGAGATAACTCAGGGATAGGAGAGAGAAAAATGAGTGGATGGTTTTAAATTTGAGCTGTTTAATTGGAACCATTTATTGCAAGTCTGAACAAAATTTTTTGCTGGATAAATGAGACTCTGTGAACTTGTGTAGCTCCAAAGATAAGGGGCATTTACTAGTACTCCTCCAGCTTGAAATTTGAATATTCTTAGTGACTAAGAATCAGTGTGGTGTCAGAGGGTAGCCCTCAAAATGAACAGGGCCCCATAGGGAATTCCAATACACCTGTAATGAAAGAACTGATTTGTCCCAGGACTCACACAGAAAGGCTGGCTCCCTGGCTCTCACAGTTCTATGAGACAGCCTGGAGAGACACCAAGACATGTCAGAGGGTTGGAGCCACTTGGGAGGTGACAGCCCCTT